TTTCTTATCCCTCTTCGTTGCGTGCAGATTTAACAAGTCGGGTTGAGTCTGCTGCTCTCCCCCGTGCTGCCGCTGTCCGGCCGGCCTGGACCCCAGACTGTTTACGGCGCAGCCTCTGATGCTGTCTTCCAATTGCAAGTTGTAAATAGTGATTTGCCCCCCGGCTGGGCCCGGGCGCGCGGGCGCGCGTCGGGGTGGTCGGTTGGTTGGTCGGTCGGACGATCGGTCGGTCGGTCGCACGATCGGTCTGCACGCGATGCCGCCGGAGCAAAAGAGGGAGCGGCAGGTTGCACAACATCTCCGCAAACATTATTATTTAGTCCCACTCTCTCTCCCTCCCCAGCGCGGCGCAAAATAAAGTCATCGCCAGCTGATATAAAATAACAAAAGTCTCTCTCTGGTGCAAGTGGCCCGGCGCGGCCCCTCCCCCGCGCTACTGTTAGTGCTGGCAGCGCTAATTTCGCCCCTCTGCACACTATACAACTACTACTGGGGCGGGGAGAAGGTTCTGGCTGGAGGGGATTGTTGGCCATACCCGTGCGACATAGAATTGCCCCTCTGACCGCCGCGGAGCGGACGTGTACTTCGCGGGCCTCCCACCCGGCCCCCGCCTCCCGCAGTCGGACGCAGGGCTTTGGCGACTCGTCTGGCTGCCGTTTGCCTATACAGCGGTTCGCAGGGAAATGAACGCAGCCGCCGTGAAAGTGAGCAGCATCGGCGGCGGCGGCGGCATCAGCGGGCGCTGAATAATAGAAACATTTCAATCGTGCAAAGAGACGGACCCTCTCCCTCCGCTCTCCTCCATCCCCCGCGCTCCCCTCCTCCCCTGCGCGCCAAACCTCTCCCCCATGGGCAATAACCCTCGAAGACGACGCCACCCCGCCGCCCGGCTGGGGGCTGCAGGTCCTGCCTGTGCCGGCGGGAGGTCTGCAGCCAAACGTCACCCCCTCGCGCCGGCCCCGCCCCGCCCCGCCCCGCCTCTCGAGTTTAGGGCTGGGGAGATTATCACTCGGCCAGTAAGTACACATTGGGCTGGTGGTGTGGAGACATACGCTGCTGCTGCCGGGCCCGATATTGCGGGACACTGGCCCAGAGAGGGTATGGCGCAGTTGCGCGTTTCACTGTCGGACACACTCGACGTGCTACAGAATCCCTTTAAAAAACGGAACTAAACGTTATTGACGACCGTTGAGTTTGCTTCATTTGTTTCTACGGTTACTCCAACTACTTTTCTCTCGTCAATATTTTATTTTTTATTTTCTTATTTTTTTATTCGGCCCGTGCTATATGC